TAAACAACGCCCGAGCCAATAGAATTCACTATTTCTCCTTAAGGAATTTAGTTCCCCTCTACGGTACCCAAGGTTATTGGAACTATTCCTCCCAGGATAGAACGGACGTACCTTTTCTGGCTGTACCGGTACTTGAAACACCAGAATCCGACGAACGCAACGATCGGAGAGAAGTCACACGACTATGTTTTCCTTTATGAGTTTGTAGAGAGGAAATGCAATGAAGAATGAAAAATTCTTTTATCTTTTGGCCAGAAAAATTTCTTGGGAAAATAACTTGTGTAGAAAACAGAGGGGGGTAGGTGTTTATTTATAGACAATGAAGGGGTGCGAGTGAAGGGATGTGATCCTTCAAGTGGGTGGTTACACCCCAACCATTGCATCGGTTCGCCATAGTAGTTGGACCGGTTGGTTCATTCCAACCGCCACATCGGTTCGGTCCGATTCGGTTCAACTTGGTTTAACCAATAACTCACCAACTATTGGCTTCTTCCCCTTTCATTCTCATTCACACCTTTCAAATCCCAACACCGGAGAGGATCGACTTCGTCGCGGATCACCCCTTCATGTTCCTAGTTACAGATGAACTTACTGGGATGATGCTGTTCAGTGGCCATGTCCTTGATCCCTCGCAGCAGGCATCATAGATCTTCTGTACAAAATATAAAGATGTTGTTTGACCAGACAACCTACGAATAATAATCGTTTCAAGCTATAGCGGATATGCTTTACTACCGCTGGGTTTGTTTGAGCATGAAATTGGGTTTGTTTGTAGTATTTAGCTTTTGTTGGGCTACTTGCCTACTTGTTAAGACTTGTTGTGCTGAATGTTGTGTGTTTGGCCTTATCCCGTTGTAAAGATCATGAAACAAAGCAAGGGGGAAATGGATATGGTATGTTAACGTCGGCAAATGTAAACCTATCTATGTACATGTTAATGATATGAAAATAAATTTAGAAGCAAAATCTACCTACAACAAGAAAAAAAAATTATTTAGTTTTTATCAATAAATATAGTAGAGATGACAACTATTTAACTTCGACAAATAATAGCTCTAAACAGATAGTTTGATGGGTGACAATTATAGTAGTTGGCGCAATGGTCACATTTCTTGTCTATGCCAATAGTGATGATATTTTCACATTTCCTTCCGCAGATTATTAATCGTTACACACAAATATTTATTTATTTTATTAATATTTCTCTGAAATTCATATTAGCTTAAATATGAATGGGCATTCACCTGTAATAAGTTTGATGATTGATTTACTGGTTAAATGATATAATTAATAAATTTAGAAGCAAAATCTAAATAGAACATAAAAAAGAAGTGAGTTACTAACAAAGAAAAACGACTTTTTAACTTAAACAAATGATAGTTCTCAAATATGAACAGATAGTTTGATTGGTGGTCATCGGTGTAATGGTCACACTTCATGTCTAGGCAAACAGTAATGATGCTTTCACATTTCCTTTACGTTATAAATTTCTTTATTAGTATTTCTCTGAAATTCAGATTCGTTGGATCATGAACACGTAACAAGTTTGATTATTGACTCCGACCCATTCTGCAGATAATATTAACAAAGGACTCCCCATCGAACATTGTACACGACACGCTCTCTGACTGCCACATTTTCACCTGCAAATTCTTGGCACTTTACATTTCTCTATGTACCAATCAATCGCCTAATAAAATGCAGCACAGCAGCGAGCAATGTTCGCTGGTGAAAACAAAGTTGCCCGCCGGCGAATTATATTCCGTTGTTTACCCCCCAATATTCCGGCAAAAATGGAGCACCAAACCGACGTCGCTTTGTCCCTCTCAAAGCACTTCCTGCTGAAGGAAGCCAAGGATTCCAACGCCGTGATTTCCCCGGCGTCGATCCACGCCCTACTCAGCCTCATCGCCGCCGGGTCAAACGGCCCCACTAAGGACCAGCTGCTGTCTTTCCTCAACGCCAAGTTGATGGATCATCTCAACTCCCTCTCATCTGGGCTCGTCTCCCTTTTGGCTGACGGCGTCGGTGGCGGTCCAAGGCTGTCGTTTGTCAATGGGGTTTGGGTGGACAGATCGCTTCCTCTGAGGCAATCTTTCAAACAGGTTGCGGGCAATGTTTACAAGGCTGCTTCTAGTGAAGTCGATTTCCAAAACAAGGTATCCCGGCTCTAGAATTTTGCTTCTTTACATGTAGAATCGATGAATCAACCAGTGGTTTGCTTTGAGTTCATTGTAATTTGAATGTTAATAGTTCATACTACTGATTTGGGTGAAAATATCTGGTTATGAAGGCAGCTGAAGTGGCTACTGAAGTGAATGAATGGGCTGAGAAACATACCAATGGAGTTATCAAGGAAGTCCTTCCCCCTGACGCTGTTGACAGCATGACGAGGCTCGTTTTGGGGAATGCCCTCTACTTCAAAGGAGCTTGGGATCAGAAATTCGATCCATTACATACCAAAGACCATGATTTCCACCTCCTGAATGGGTGCTCGGTGAGAGTCCCCTTCATGACTACCAGGAACAAGCAATATGTTTCCCGGTCAGATGGTTTCAAGATCCTTTCCCTTCCTTACAAGCAAGGTCGTGAAGACGGCAGCAAACGAGGTTTCTCGATGCACATCTTCCTTCCTGATTCCAGACACGGACTGACTGCACTGGTCGAGAGGGCGGGTACTGAACCTGGTTTCTTGAGCAAACACCTTCCGAGGAGGAAGGTAGAAGTGGGCGAGTTCAGGCTTCCAAGGTTCAAACTTTCCTTCGGATTCGAGGCTTCCAAAACCTTGAAGGAACTGGGGCTGGTCCTGCCTTTCTCTGATGAAGCAGAGCTGACTGAGATGGTGGAGTCATCTGCTGTTGTTGGGAGTAAGTTGAGGGTGTCGAGCATGTTTCACAAGTCGTTCATCGAAGTGAATGAGGAAGGCACAGAAGCTGCAGCCGTTTCTGTTGCTGAAATTGTTCTCATGTGTTATGTTGAGCCTGTGAAGTTTGTAGCTGATCATCCGTTCATGTTCATCATCCAAGAACACCATACTGGAACGGTGTTGTTCAGCGGCCAAATCCTTGATCCCTCCCAGTAGAGAGTTTGTGTTGTGTGTAACTTGCAGTTGAGTTGAGTTAGTGGCAGATTGTTGAGTGGTGCTCGTTTTAAGTGGTCGTGTAATCGGTAAGTGTATTATGAATGAATAAATAAGTTTGATTAAAACTCGATTCTTATTGAAATTTCCACTTATGCGGTGAAGAGCTATATTTTTTTTTTTTTTGGTAAAAGGGGAAGAGCTATATTTTGATACACCTAGGACATATGAAAGTTTGTTTAAAACTTAACTAAAAGATTTGACTATAAAGATCGAAACAAGAATTATGATGCAATCATATGATAAATTCAGTGGCGGAGGCGGCATTTCAAACCACCCTTGTCTTCTTTTCATAACTTAAATATATGGGGTCGTTTGGATGAAGGTTTCTAATGAGAGATTTATGAGGGATTTTAAAACAATCTCTCATTATGCAGGATTTTAAAACAATCATGCGTTTGGATATACGAGAGATTTTGGGTATTAAGAATTTCGAAATTCCTGAAAGGCAGGTTTTTAAAATAGCTGATGGGGATAAGCTATTTTGAAATCCCTCATTTTTTTTTTCTTTGTTCCAAACTTGTCCTTCCATCTCTGATCTGCAATCCCTACCAAACCCGTCAACCTTCCGGCGGCTCCATCCCTTCCAATCCCTCCAAACCAGTCAACCTTCACGTTACTCCATCACTTCCAAACCCGCCGACTTCCCGTCGATCTTCCAGGGCGAAGGAAACACCGTCGCCACTTGCCATCATGGTTCCCTCCACCGCGCGGATCGAGATCTATCAATCTCCTCCGCTGTTCTTGGCAAAGAGAGAGGAGATTGTGAGGGAGGTCGACGGAGGAAGATGATTAATGGTGGTTTTCGAGGCTGGAGGAATAGAATGAATGGAGGGGAAAATCACTGATCTGGATTGCCGACGGCAGGAAGGAGATGAATGGTTGTGGGGATCGGGTCGTGGGGAGATTGTTGATTTGTTAGGCGATGCAATTTGTTTCACGATTCTTCTTCCGCCTGGTCCTGGATTTGGGTTCACAAATTGGTTAATGATTCTTCTCCCTGTCTCCTTCCGCCTAGTGCTGGATTTGGGTATGTAACTTCCCAGATTTGATTCCAATGTGGGTCTTTGGCTTGATGTTCATAGGTAGAGATGAGGTTATCGGATGAGAGGAGAAGAATGAGATAGGTAGAAGATAAGGTTAAAAAAGTAATTTAATTTTTTAAATTAAAATTCTGTGTTCATATCCAAACAAGTGATTTATTAAAATTCCTCATATTAAAAACCTAGGTTTTTAAACCAAGGGATTGTGAGTAAAAACCCAGGTTTTAGGAAACCTGTATCCAAACGACCCCTATAAGTATTTAATTAAAAATCATTTAATAAAAAATAATTAACATTAATTATATCCAAATAATTCATTCATAGATTAAAAATAATCGACTACACAACCATAGTTTTCAAAAACAACCACGAAGAGATTTCATATTGTGAAAGAAACGCAAAAACATTCGTTGTCTACACTATTAAACAAGTCTCTTTCAATGTATCTCACTAGAACAACTGAATCAAACACACATAACCCGTTCTGAACTATCATAATGTCTTCTAATACACACATCTCAACTCTGCCTAAGTAATGTAGGGAACATTTAGAAATATTCATGTTTTTAACTAGTAAAAGTATTGATGATATCACCGGACGAAACTCTCATGACGCGATTAATGTTTACAAAGGCTGCTTTCTCAGAACCCAAGTCGCTTGTGGTCAAACCCAACTGTTGAATTTGGGTCCGGCCCACCATCAGAAGAAAAACCCAGTTATATTGGGTCGGATAGCTATTTACCCTTCTGGGCTTTTGTACTATCGTGGGCCTCCTCTGATTTGTTTGGCTCCCTCTCCGACCCTATCAAAGGGGTAGAAACTTCTTTCACCATTTACCCTTCTGGCCTTCTTCTTCTGCGCTTTTCCTCTTCTCTTCGGCCGGCTTAGCCTGTGATTGGGAACCCATAATCAGCGAAGAGCAGAAGTCGGCGTTGTATTTAGTGCCCACCTCTTGGAAGAATCCGCCGAACGGGAAGACGCCATTTCTACAGAGACGCGACTGTTATCTCCGGCGAAATTGCGACCACCAATTCCTCACCGGAATCCAAGTTCCAGGCGCCGTAATATCGTAAGGGTTGATTAGCGACATCGACGATTTCGTGTGGGGTTTTTCCGTGTAAGAAATCTTTACGCCAAGCAGATTCCAGTCCCTATGAGAGACCAGGTCGGCAGTTACATTCGGTATCCAGCTGCTATGACTGGATACGAGGAACTCAAAAACAATCCCAAGATGTTTATGGATACTTTGGAGAAGTTCCATTCGTTTATGGGGACCAAGTTCATGTGAGTATGTCTTTGTATGTGAATGTTGTTCTTTCGCAATTGGTAGTATATTGGGAGATGTAGGGGTTTAGTTAGCTCTCTTTTCTCTGTACATTTTACAAGTTTTTGGTGCCCCTTGCATCAAGATGATACCTTTGCTGAACTTATCTCCAACTCTACCTAGTTAATGATCCCATTGGTGCATTTTTTTCATATGCGAACACCTGTAATTGCATACAACAGTCAATGTTAATAACCCAGGATAAGAAAGAGGATAAATTTGGATGTGATGCGAGTAAAATTGGTTAATAGCTCGAACCATCAACGATTTATGAGCTACTTCATATTGCTTGCTCTCCATTCAGACTTTCCATTGCATTCTCTGAGACTCTGACTGGTGTTTGGTTTTCTGTAGGATCCCCATAATAGGGGGAAAAGAATTGGATTTGCATCGGCTTTTTGTGGAGGTGACACAACGTGGCGGTATTCAAAAGGTAGAATGCTCGGTGTTTTCCCTTAGTTTGAGCGACTGTTTGTCTTAATCGTCTGCAGATTTTAAGCTAGGTTTAAGTATGCTGCCGTTGAGTTTAGCTTCAGCATTGTGGGACTCTAGTTTTAGGAAGAGAGTTAGACACTTTGATTTAGAATTTCTATTCTTTAGGACTTTATGCGTTTTTGGGGATTCAATGATAAAGGATATGATGATAATATGTTCTGATACATGTCTGAATGATACGTTGGTGTGGTTTTAGTTAGCATGAGAATCAAATAATTTGAACTTTGTATCTGATCCATCATGAATATGGCTGAAAGGGGGATGCCTATGTCATAGTGGTTTTTTTTTTACGATAAGTGTCTGTCATTTGTATTTGTATTATGTTGCCAGATCCTTGATGAGAAAAGATGGAAAGAAGTGACTGCCACATTCAACTTCCCATCCACTGCAACAAATGCATCTTTTGTATTGCGCAAGTACTACATGTCATTGCTTCACCACTATGAACAGCTCTACTTCCTTAGAGCACAAGGCTGGAATGCTGCCGCATCAGCAGGTGTGTGTGGGATTCAACTTGAGCCCAACTCGCTTTTCCTTTTCATCCATATTCCTTCCACTACTGTCAGCTGTTGATAGCTTTATCTTCTTGCTTCGTAGCAGCAGTTCCTCTACAGAACCCATCAACAGAAAACCAAGCAGCTGCACAACAGCACAATAGGATAAATGTTGCAGCTCAACTGCCAGGAGGTCTTTTTTGCTTTAATTTCTAGCAAGCAATTTACTCCCGTACATGTTTTTTTGCTTGGAGTTCTCCTACTCGTTTCTGTAATATGGTTTCTTTATATTCTCCTTGTCTCTTTTTTGTAGCTGGTATTCGTTACACTCTGACTCTTTCCTATTTATTTGATTGCAGCCAGCGGCTTACCCTCAATTGTTGGTGTAATTGATGGCAAGTTTGACAGTGGTTATCTCGTCACTGTCACAATAGGCAATGAGAAGCTGCAAGGTGTTGTTTATCAGGCAGCGACGGAGGCCCAGCAGCAACACTACTATGGTTTGTCAGCAAACAACAACAACAACAACAATGAAACCACGGAGAGTGGTGTAGTACGCAGCAAGCGAAGAAGAAAGGAGACACGAACGAGGGATCCCAATCAATTGCTGCTCAGTGAGGCAGCAGGACAACATCAGCAGCCTGAACAACAGGACGTGAATATGGTAGTGGAACCCGGTCGCGAAACTAGAGGCTGGGAATCACCCCCCGACAATGAGAGCAGTAGTTTCGATGATGAGGTTGATTCTGACGATGACGACGACGAGGACCATGCGAAGAATGTGGCGTCTGTGGCGGTGGCAGCCGGAGAAGATTCGGTGAGTAGGGAAGAAACTCGCCCAGTCGAGGGTTTAGGTGTTCTTCCTTCTTAGCTACTTCGAATGATGCTTATGTTTTCTAATTAGGTTTTTTATCATTTTAAAATTTTCCCAGTAGGGTTAGACCATATTCGGGATGAGAATTATGTACATTTTTACTTGTGCGGCAAGGAATAGCTAGTTAATGTTAAGTTGTGATTGAACCTTCTTTTCTCTACCTACGGGTGAGTAGGTGACCATTGATATTCCCCTGAGAAGCGAGAAGTACGGCGGAATGGAGCTCCAAGCAGACGTCGCTCTGGCTCTCGCAAAGCACCTTTTGTTGACGGAAGCCAAGAATTCCAACACTGTGATTTACATCGTTTTGCATGCCCTAAAAATTTAGGGTAGCTCTTATTATTAGGTTACGGAGAAATCATAATTCAACCGTTCTGTGAGTTTCAACAAATGGGTCAAGAAACGCACAAACGGCGTTACAAAGGAAGCTCTTCCTTCCGGCGCAATCGACTATTGCATTTGCACGACGTGGGCAATGCCCTCTACTTCAAAGGAGCTTGGAGCAAAAAGTTGTTAAGGAGTGGTATATATCTATCTATCAGAACCGGCTCAAGATAGGGTGAGTAACAAACCGTTCTGTGAGTTTAAACAAATGGGTCAATAAACGCACAAACGGCGTTACAAAGGAAGCTCTTCCTTCCGGCGCAATCGACTATTGCATTTGCACGACGTGGGCAATGCCCTCTACTTCAAAGGAGCTTAGAGCAAGAAGTTGTTAAGGAGTGGTATATATCTATCAGAACCGGCTCAAGATAAGGTGAGTAACTAGGGCTGTTAGTCGGTGCGGTTTCGGTTTAACCGAACCGCACCGTCGGTTAGCCGAGACCGAAATCAGCCCATTTCCCTCAACCGAAGCCAACACCGAAAGTACCCTCGGTTAACCGGCAACCGAAACCGCCGGTTTCGGTTTGAGCGGGCGGTTAGCCGAAACCGCATGAGTTTTCATCGAAAGTCTCCCCTTATCACTAGTTTTTTGAGAAAACATGAGCACAAAGAATGGTTTACATAAATATTCACTAATTAACCCAATTGGTTTACATCAAACCTCAATCAAGTGCAAGGGAGACCTATATGGTTTACATTAAACCTCAAAAAAACCTAGACCCAATTCACTACTAATGTTTTTGTTCTGTTCGAGGCTTACATTGGTGATGGTGAATCGATGATAGAACAGCAGAAGACGGCGGGAGAACAGGGCAGAAGACGGCGGGATTCCGGGGCAGGCGACAGAGTCGGGCGTCGGCAGGAGTCGAGTTCTGGGAGGGAGTTCGGCGACGACGACTTCTATTGGAGGACAGCGGCGACGCGAAGGCTGGGAGCGGCGGGAGGGCGGCGATGCCACGCGATGAAGGCTGGGAGAGAGAGGATTGAGGAAGGCGCTGCGACGGCCGATGGCCGACGAGCTCGACGGGGACGAGGCGACTGGCGGCGGCCGGCGAGGGGAGGGGCTAGGGTTCAGAAATGGGGAGGAGCGGCGGGTGTGAGAGGGAACTGGGGAGAGACACGATTTTGCGATTTAGGATTTTAGGTCATTAGGGCAGGGGAGGAGGGAAGGAGAGGATGTCTGTCTGGGGCGTCGGTTTCGTCGGTTTTGCAGCGGTTAATTTGTGCGGTTGAGGTTTTTAACCGCTAACCGCGAAAATTGGCCACTGGCCAGTGACGTCAAACCGCAACCACAACCGCAAACCGCAATAAACCGACGATTTTCGGTTGGTCAATAAACCGACGGTTTCGGTTCGGTTTCGGTGGTAACCGACAAACCGGAGACCGATTAACAGCCCTATGAGTAACAATGAGTAACCAAATCTGGACCCTTCTTTTAAGTGACTGCAGATCTAAGAATGGAGAATTAAAGGAATTTATTTTCCCTAGTTTTCTTAATTGGATCATATCTTCTTCATTCTAACTCGGATTTCAATTTTTTTTCACAGATGGAACGAGTTCGTTGTGCTCTACAAAATGATATAATTTTCAATATTTTTTGAGAAAAAATTTTCATCCCACTCGTTACCAACTCCATACCATATGGTATCTCCTTCGTTGTTTAGTCATTTTCAAAAAATTTTGCACAAAAGGAACGATTTAATCACGATCTATTGGATTTCAAAATTTTCTGGGGGAAAAATTTTCAAACCTCTCGTTACCAACTCTATACCATACTATATCACCCTGGTATGAGGTGGTATTTTTCATACCATATGGTATGCTGTTATTTTATACCATATGGTATTGACTGGTATTAAATAACAACATATGATATTGACTGGTATTTTTCATATCATATGGTATGTTGTTATTTAACTGAACTTCTATTTGGTATTGACTATACCATATGGTATAGAGTGGTAATAACTGGCAAAATTTTTGTGTTCCAAAAAATATAAAAGTGGATATCATTTTGAAGAGCACAATTAATCTAATCTAACTTTGCAAAAAAAAAATTAAATTTCGAGTTAAAACGAGTGAGAAATCGTCTGTTAAAGATTAAGGAAAAGAAAATTAATGATTTTTCCAGGAGAGAGAAGGAGGCGTTGATGTGACAGATTCTTATTGGTTTATGCATGGGGTTACTCACCATAATGTTACTCACCGAATCTGCTCCCATCAGAACATCTCCCAAGTCCTAATAAATCACTAGAGTTGGGCCCGCCCGTTGGCCGGATGAATTACATCAATAGTATAAAATGATAATAATAATTATATGAATCATTTATTCGGTATCATGAAAGAACCTAAATTATTCAATTACTAAAATTATCACAAAACAACATACATTATGAGTTTTACAACATGTTGATCATTTATGAACAAAAATTCTTATCAAAAGTAAACAACACAACTCATGCATCTTCTCCACTCAAAAACTTAATAGTCAAAATGCACTTCAATTTACTATTTGCTATTAGAAATTACTTCAAAAATTTTAGGATTATTTCCTTTTTCTCCTGCATTTCATTGTAAAACAAATTTTAATGGTAAAATATTTGAAAATGTAGAACATCTGTTCACGGTGGTAGAATTTCACCTCATACAAATTGTAAATATTATAAATTTCGCTCTTTCCTCCCATTACAGATATATCTATATCCACCATCAATAATCTCTTTCTTTATCTCAATAACGTTATTATGTCCATCACTGAATTCACTACCTCTACTATTAGCGTACTCTTCCTTCTTCTCCTGCATTGCACTTAATGCAAAAATTTAATTGCAAATTTTTTGGAATTATGAAAAGTCTATTTTCAAAACTTAAATTTACGTAGTACATGTCATGAACTTTTTCTAATATTCCTCTTCTTTACCCTTCATTATCTTCAAAACTGTGTACCCACTTGTGGAGTTCGCGATGTTGTAATTGATGAGCTTGATATGAAATGTTAACTTCATGCTCTCGGTTTGCATTGGATGAGGAGGTGAAGGTTCTCTCATTTTGTTACTATCTTTGGATAGTTTCTCAAAAACACATTGCAAAAAATCTAGCTTCCTCGTGATACAGAACAATAAAATTATATGAAACAAATATTGTCTACAACTCACAACTAATACGTTAGGTAGATTGTTACCCAACTACTATTGTCTTTGATGTTGTTGTATAATTCTTATATAATTGCTTATCATAGTTTTCTTCAACTTTTCTCTGCCAAGTTTCAATTAATATGGTTTTTCTAACCCATTTAAAATCATAGTTGAAATGAATGAGATATAGTCCGCTATAAATTTGTGAGAAATTGAAAATCTCTTAACTATAGTTCTTGAGATTTTTGGCAGCCATAACTAAAGGAGGGTTTGCACCAAAATTCTGTCTATTTTACTTGGTTGTTGAAGATTGCACTGGAATACTGTTTGTCGATAAGATTATCCTCCAAGGTGAATATATTTTTGAGGCGTAGAATCAACAAATATAGTACTCAATAATTGTATGAATTAACTTAAGACCTCAAAATAATACTCAAGCAGTTATAACATAATAGGTTACTGTCAAATGAAGTTTTGATAAGAATTATCATCGCAATATTATAATTCTCTCACTGATATTTGATCAAAACTAAGCAAAGTTATAAAAAAACAAAGCAAACGGAGTTGTCGCTTTGCCATTATGGTAAAAGAAAACTATACATCACAAACCTAGATCTAAGGTGGTATAATCTCATAAAAAAATTTATTGTTTCTCATAAAAAGAACCTATGAAAGAAATTATCTACCTGCTAGTTTAAAATTTTGAACTTCCAATCTCTAGATGAAGATTGTGATATATATTTCATCTCTCTAAAAAAACCAATACTTAAAAGAAAATTTGAGGAATGCATAATCATTAATTAAACAATCATTGATAACTATATCCATAAACCTCCTCGCCATTATCAATTTTCTTTAAAACGTTGAACTTTGATTTTGTATCTTTTTCTGAAAAACCTCAAATCCAAAATATAATTGAAAATTATTTGGTTTGTTTATTTAAGTTAAGTTATTAAGAATTAGTTAAATAGCAGAGTTACACATATACGTATTGGTCTCAAACATTTACTCTTATAATAAAATAACATTGAAATAAAAAAGTAAACCACATATAGATCACACGTACAACTGTAGAATAAGAGAATGAGTTAACAATATAACAATTGGTTTAAAAAATCCAACGAAATCTATTATTTTCATTTTATGTTGGAGTTTTTAATAGTTAAATGGACTAAAATATCCTTCTTAAATTCACTAAGAAGGCTGGAAATTTTGAATTAAGCACCTTCTCATGGAGAATCTCTTTATATTAGTGTTAGGAATTATTGGGACCAGTTGATTTATGACAGGTTAACAAAGCTAGTTTGTTTTTTAGGTTACGTATTTAAGTCTTCATGACCCATAATATTAATCGTTTTCTAAAGCACATAGTATGGTGGGCCTGTGCGAACTTCAAGCCCATTAGTTGGTTTTTGTTTGAGAGCGTGTAAGAAAGTGGTTAAGTACCTAGACATGGTCTTATCCCAACAACTCGAGAGTTATTGGGACCAATTTGTTTATAATATGGTGTCAGAGCTAGTATGGCCGTGAGGTCACCTGTTCAATTTCCCATTGTCCCCAATATTAACTGGTGATTAAAGTCGTATGGTATGTTCTACATGTTCAAACTTCAACCCCACATAACTTGACT